TACGAAATAGCTGAAAGATGAACTTAAACAAACTTCGGTAAGTCTGAAGGAGAAGCTTCTGGAAAATTCTCTAAGAGTTTGGATGACAAGCTTCGCAAAAATTCGGTGAGTTCAAGAGATGAACTTCAACAAAATTCGAAGTGCCTGGAGGAGAAGCTTCTGGAAAATTCGATGAGTTAAAAGATGAATTTCAACAAAATTCGAAGTGCCTGGAGGAGAAGCTTCTGGAAAATTCGATAAGTTTGGAAGATAAATTTCTAGAGAATTTGAATAGCTTGAAGGAAGAACTTCTAGAAAATGCAGAATTATTAAAGAAATAACTCTGTTGTGTGGCGAGTCCACTCGAAGAAAAGATAGGAACCATCGAGACAGAGATAGACAAAGTCAGAGATGAAATCAAAGGGGAGATCAAATATGAAATCGGGGCAGAAATGAAGAGAATGGAATAAAAAATTAGGCGATAAAATCAAAGCCGGATTTGAAGCAGAAATCAGCAAGATGAAGGAAACAATTAGCAAGTTGCAAAACCAAATCGTTAATTCTGCCCACACCACAGAAACTTGTTATCGAAAATTCAATTCCGGAACTGAAAGATGTCAAAGTCAGTTCTGAACCAGGAAAGCTCTCCATGAAGCCGCCCCAGTTTAACGAAAAAACTCTTTGGGCAAATTACCGCCGACAATTCAAGTTGCGGCCAGAGCGAATGGATGGAATGCAGGAGAAAGGGCGGTAGCATTAACACTGACGTTGCGTGGAGAAGCAACAAATATTTTGCAAACCCTCACGGCCCAAGAACAGGAAGACTATGACCATCTTATAAAGCATCTTGAGCTACGGTATGGACAGGCCCACCTAGAGCACGTTTACCATTCACAGCTGAAGAACCGCTGCCAGCAATCAGGAGAATCTCTACAGGAATTTGAAGCCGACATTGCTCGATTGGTTCGTCTGGCATCTCCTGCTACATCGGAAAATGTAATGGAGCGGTTAGCAGTTCAGGCATTTTTGGACCGACTTCGCGACCAAGTAACGAGGCTGACCCTGACACTATCATCCCAAACATCTCGTGGATGTACTGGCATGCGCCCTGAAGTTTGAGGCTGCAAAACAATCCTGCAAGAGCCAGAGCAAAGTTTGAACTATCGAGGAAGATGGATAGGTAGGTGCCTGCAGACATTGGGGTCACCATTAGGAAGGTAATGAAAGAAGTGTTGCCTGAGAGAAAACAAATAAGATGCTGGAAATGTGTAAAAATTGGGTATGTGCGTGGCAAATGTCCAGCATTCAAATAAAAAAATTTGTTTAAAATCTGTTTTTCCGTTAACCAACTGTCGCACCCCTACGAACGACATACCTCAGAAGTCGAAACTTGTGCTAGCCAATGATTAACGAGGTCATACTTTTTAACGTGTGATTGATTGACATTTCCTACAAGGACATATCACCAACTTACCGATCTAAATTGAGGGAGTTCGCCAGGAAGTACCAGGAAATCGATATTGGAGAAGGAAAATTCGACAGAACGAATGTGGTTCAACATAGACACTGGGAATGCCCGACCAATCCGGCAATCAGCTAAAATACTCTCTCTTGCCAAGAAAGAAGAGGCAGACAAGATAATCAGCGATATGGGAAAAGAAGGAGTCATATAACCTTCTGACAGTTCCTGGTCTTCCCCAGTCGTATTAGTGAAGAAGAAGGACGGCTCGACAAGGTTCTGCGTGGATTATCGCCATCGACGATAAATACAAAGAAATACAGCTACCCTCATCCAAGAATCGACGACACCCTATATACGCTAGCCGGCCCCACAATTTTCTCGACTTTGGATTTGAAGAATGGATTTTGGCAAGTTGGGCTCAAAGGGCTCTCATGGAAGATGTGTCCATTGTATCTCGAAGATATAATCGTGGTCGGAAAATCGTTTCGACCACTGGAGGAGGTATGTATGCGTCTGAGAAGTTCTGTATTGAAAGTTAGTCCCAAGAAAGTGGGAGTGGCGATAGACGAACAAAAGATCAAAGCGGTTAAATTTTGGCCCATTACAACGCTTCGTAGCGTTCTTGGTTTGTGCACCTACTACCGCAGATATGTGCTGGGGTTTGCCAACATCGGCAAACCATTGACCCGACTTGCAGAAGTACAGATGCAGTTCCAGTGGTCCGAGGAGTGCCAAGACTCATTCAAGAAGTTGAAAAGAGCTTTGATCAACGCTCCTGTTTTGAGCTATTCCCTACCGGACGGAAAATTTAGACAACTGGGAGGACAATAACATCAAAGAAGACAAAGAGAAAGACCCTGATCTTGGTTTAGTCATCGGATGAAGGAGAATTAATCAAAGACCATCGTGGCAGAAGATAGCAAGTTATTCGCCAGCCGTTAAGTCCTTCTGGGCCCAATGGACCACCCTTACCTTGGAAAACGGGGTTTTAAAGCGGGTTTTCGAGGCTGAAGACGGTAGAGAAGAAAGGCGCCAGACAGTGGTACCCAGTAACAGGCGACGGGAGGTGCTCAAAGAAATCCATGATGGAGTCACTGGAGGACATCTGGGAGTAACGAAGACCCTCCAGAATGTAAGACAACGATTTTACTGGATTAATGGTCAAGCCGACGTCAAGACTGGTGCAGAAAGTGTGTTGTATGTGCTGCCAGTAACGGACCTCGGATACAACCGAAAGCTCCAATGCGCCAGTATAACGTGGGTAGTCCCTTTGAGAGAATCGACATCGCCGGCCCGTTCCCAGAGTCCGACCATGGAAACATACATCCTGGTAGCCATTGACTACTTCAACTACTTCAGTAAACATTCTCGAGACAAACCGTCCTATGCAGATGTCTGGAGGAGTCATACCAGACTGAGGCACACGATGCTCGACCAGAATCTTGTGGACATGGCAATCCCGAAATTAGTCTCTGGGCTCGACAGGAATTGTGAGAAGCATGTTGGAAACGATATTCAAATCCAGCGGCATCAAGATTTTGGTGTGCGGTAACCATCTTCCACGACCGAGCATGAAGACTGTGGAGTGTTACTTCCATCGAACTTCACAGTGCAGATATGGAGAGTCCTGCAGGTATCGACACACGCCAAGGATGACATTTCGAGGCTAAACCTCTTCAAGAACGCGACAATGTAACGAGTCTAAAGCCGCTCGTAACCGATATGCCGGCCGACTCAGCGAACAAACACATGACATCACCGCGAAAGAATGCAACCGCCGGTAAAACTCTAATCGAGTACCGAACCGACTATAGATTTCTAGAAAGAACCATTACATTATATAAGCCCGGCTTCCCGACCCAAGAGGGCATTTCGAAAAGTGAATCGAGTGGTTAAAAAAGGAATTCAAATGGTAGAAATAAATTAAGCGTTAGTTGCTAAGGGTTGTAAATAAATTAGTTTGTGATTAGTGAAATATTATTGGAAATAAATTTGTGTGAGACAGTTAATTCTTTAATTTGTTACAATATGTTTAAAATATGTGTTTTCCGTTAACCAGCTATCGCACCCCTACGAACGATAACCCTTAGAAGTCGAAACTTGTGCGAGCTAAGGTCTTACCTTCCAACATGTCTGTGTCTATTTAAAAAGGTGAATCATCCATAAAAATAAAATTGAAAAACTAAAGAAGACTATTGAAGAAAGACATCAACAGTGAGAAAAATGCAATAAGAAACACTCGTTAAATTAGATCAAGCGAATAGAGAGAAGTATATTTGAATTTTTGGCTTGAATTAAACTCAACAAGAGAATGCCTGATAGAAAATTCTCAAACTTTTCAACGAAAAAATGGAATTGATATTAGCAGATGAGGGTATTGAAATTTGTTACAGAGTGAGAAGAAATGATGAAAAATATGCTACAGGAATATATGTCTAATTAAAAAATGTCACAAGTAAACAAAATATTTTTGCAAACAATAAACTCCTGAAAGAGATTGGTATCGTAATAAAAAGAGACCTCACTGCCTCAAGTGTCAATATTCTGAACAAGGCATCAGAAAAAGTCTGACACAAAAATGTTTGGACCTAGACTGGGAAGATTCATGACAATTTCAATGGTAAAAATCTCTATTCTAAAGAGCAAAAAATATCTTGAAACTTTCGGAGATCAAATTTACTTAGTTATTTTTTACTGTTAATCTTATTCGTTAAAGGTTGTTTTCTCTACTTAATTTTTATTATATTCCAATCCTCTTCTCTCAATCTCTTAGGGGATGCTCAGGTTTATAAGTAGATAGATAGTTTAAATTGAAATCGGGAGAGAATAATTTTTGGGAAAGAAAGGTTTTGGCTTTTAACTTCTCCATCTTTATACATAAAAATGTGGGAATCTCCCAAAGAAAGAAAGGAAGTAATCTAATTCAAAAAATTAACTCTATTCAAAGATGTGTAGATTATGCAAAGAAGTAACTTCCAGACACAAACTGGAAGAATACATTGAATTTCACGAAAGAAAAATACTGAAACAAATACTTTTATATGAACACTGAATTATACCAAAAAACACCTTTTCTCTATTCAGATTGTATCCCAAACATTCATTATAGAATTGGATCAGATATCATTCAAAGGATTGCTACACATTAAAATATAGTAAATAGAAGAGGTAAAATTTCACTTACATGGAACACTGTCATCCTCAGTGGTGAACATCCGACGTTTTGACTCAAGACACTTGCCTTATCGCATCAAATCTAGATAACAATATAAGATGAAGCATTCAATTCATTCATGAAATTACGGAAATTTGTACGATGTTATTACTCCATTTATAATGGCATCAATACAACTTTCGACCAAATGAAACATTTCGATGATATCTCACACACACTTTGTTTTATTCAAATTTGAAGATACGAAGCGCTTAGTAAAAGAAATAGAATTAAAAAGAAATTCAATGTGCATACTGAATGATTTTCTACAAAAACCTATATCTGAATGTGATCTATATTATTTTTCAAGGTCAACATAATTAATTTGTTTTAAGTTTGTTTCAGGTATTGATAATTGGTGGATTTTATCAACAGGATTGTACTCTTCACCCCTTGATGAATATGAAGCAACAATATTCACCACTATTTTAATGTACAAAGAATATGTCACTGATAAACTGTTATTAAATACATGAAAATACAAAACAATGTAGTGAATATATCTGTTCTCTTTCGTCACTTCATTGATTTTTTTACCTAAATATAGTGTTAAGTTTTATAAATCTGGAGCCGAGCGAGCAGATGCAGATTCGATACCACGTGATCACAGAGTCAACGGAGCGAAATATATTTAACGACCACTCGATTCTACCTGGAATAACTAGTTAACATTTGAGACATTTGGTTGTCATCACAACCATCTCATCTAGATTTTCTAGATTTCATCTACTGCAGAAGTGTAAATATTAATTTTCTCTTCAAAATGCAAACATGTTTTCGCAACTATTTGAGAATGACAAATGTCGAAGAAGACATTATTATGCCAATGAAAATGTGTCATGACTCCTTTTTGAAGATAGTATGTGATGACGAATAACAGCCAAAAATTAAGTATAAGTTATTTATGCGCCCTTGACTTGGGGAGGAAGCAGGTGAATGCGTGACGGGAGCGTTACGAAACGCTCTCAACTTCCGAGAACGGAAGTTGAAAGGGAGGTATAAGTAAGTGAAGATAGAAAGAGAGAGAGGCGCGAGCACACATTTACGGCCGAGTAGGATCTGAAGAGCGAATTTTTTTGTTTCCCGCCGCACCCATCCGACATCATTCGAACCTCAATAATGTTTGGTTGATTGATAATGTAATTATAAATACACGAGGATATCTCATTTGACCCCCTTTTTCCTTGGGTTTCATTTCAAAGGTAAAGATTCCATCCTGATTCCATAAATTGTAGATAGTCAAACTGTGAATAGCCAATTTTCGTATGTAAAATATTTGTCCTATTGGATCCTTTGGAGTCGTAAGCACTGCTTCGAGGTTAAAGTTAATGATAGTATCTCGGAATGATTCTTTGCCTTCATCTCGAGCCTCACGAGCTAATTGTTCCTGTATTTTATTCCTCCTCTGTCATATTTTTGTATTTTAAGCACTTTTTACAATAGTCCTTTTTGGGTTTATGGAACCCCAAGTTGTAGCTTCTAAACACTCGTCGATACTTCTCTAAAGAAATTGGACGGATACTTAATTCCGCGCACTTTGATTTGTACAATTTGTGCATAATAGAGATGGCCCTACAATAATGATACTCCACGGCTAGAAATGAAAGAATGTTCTCACGAATCAGCAGTTAATCATCGTATTTCAATTTGTTGTGTGGGACACGTTTTCCACGATTTTCTTTTTCAACTATGCCACTAGAAGAAAGATTTGCTACAGATCCGCGCATAAATGCATCTGTCACATTGAGGGTATCCATAAAAAAGGTCCGGCATACTTTTCTTTTTTTCCATTGACGGTAAACGAGTAACTAATGGTGAACGTTCTTGAATTTTCAATGTTTCTAGTCATTATCTTTTTCTTTTGTTTATCAAGATGATTAGTCGAAAAATTCGCTGATCATCTACCGAAATTTATTGTAACTTTTGTGTCGGTTTTCGACGAAGGTGTCACATTTGTGGTGTGCTTTACCAGAACACGGGTAAGGAAACGTGGGACGCGCTGGTCTCTCTATTTCTAGAACAAACATAAGACTCTCCTTTTAATCCTTTTTGTTTCCTTGCGTTTTTCTTTCAAGTGTTTATGTTTTTCTCCTTTCTCGTAGGGCCCTCACTTTCAGAGAAAAAAAAAATAGCTTTGGAATAATTGTATGTTTGCGTCATACCTTTCTAAATAACTTACTTGATTTATTTTCTTTCATGTCAATTGTATTCTCTGATTCTGATGTTGTATCGTTAGAGCTCGAACAGAAAGAGCAGGAAGAACTGTTAGAAGATGAGTCCTCTTTGGGATTATAGTTATCTGATGAAGAGTCAGAAAAGTTACTCTTGTTGGAAGCTAGTTCGCTATCGAATGTCAGTCCCCTACTAGAGGTGCCCGAAATATCTACTAAAGATTGTGCTAAAACAAATTCTTTGTCATATTTATCAGTACTGTGAAATTTTATGATAAAAAAATACAGTTGGTTCTTTGAAACCGTTGGACAAAGTATTCCTTCATTATTTGGCACAGAACCAGAAACGTTTGATGTTCCTGGTCCATTTTTTGTTCGGTGTCGCATTCGTCATCAATTTTCTTTGGAATCTAATAGGAAAAAAACTACATTAGTAAAACCAATCTGGCCTTTCAAATACTAAAAAAAATATCGAACATTAATTATTTTATTTTATTTCAGTCAAACAAGTTGCCAAATTGACGGCTAAAGTGTGGTACCTCGTATTTTTTTTTGGAAAATTTTCCAGAAAACGTAAAAAACGTTAATTACGCATTACATTCCTTTTGCAATACTATTTTTTTATGGGACTGTCCTCGAAAAACTAGTTTTTGCCTTATGTCCAAATTTTCTTCAAAAAATGATATGATACTGCACTCTAGCCGTCCAGATACTTATTCCTATCAGCCAATCACTAAAATGTTATTTCTATGATTATTAACATCACCTACCTTCTGTTCATGCTGTTTTGGTGAATCCAGACATGACTGTCTCAAGCTTTCGAATATTTTAGCTGTATGGGCGTTCATTTTTACACACAAAACTGAAAATGTATAGTGGAAACAAGGTAACGAATGTAAAAATGACACAAAATCCACACTGCCACAAACACGAAAGTGTCACTTTCGCGATTTGCACGTCGCAAGTTAACTTAATCTCTACACTGCCACAAACGCGAATTGGTACATTCGCGATGCACGCTTTGCAAGTGAACAATGCGGACTGACTCGTGCAAAAGCACATGTCTCTCCACCATCTTTCAGCGTTCACTTGCATTTGTGGTCGTGGTAGAGTAAAGTGATGACTGAGATATTATTACCAACTGTCGAAAGCACTCGCAGATAATTAATAGAAGATATAAAGCTTCAAATCCTTTTTGTAGAATTTAATATTGAAATATATATTTTAGACTAACAGCATTTATCCGATTTCTCAAATCTTCCACATCTTCCACTGTTATCGAAATGTTGTTGATGGATATCAACCGAATTTTGGATTTTTTATTACTTGGTAGGTCCAGTGAAGTACGCTATACTTTTATTTCGGATACATT